ATTGCTTTCACAGGAATACGAATATACCAACCACATGTGTTGTAGTAGAGTGTCAAATATGTGGGAAGAGAGGTCACTCAGCCTTGGATTGCTATCAGCGGGGAAACTATGCTTATCAAGGACAGGCTCCACCTCCATCACTGTCTGCAATGAATGCACAACAGACAACACAATTCATTCCTCAAGATACTTGGATCGTTGACTCTGGTGCGTCACATCATATAACTTCCGATATCAGTGCTCTTTCTTAAGTAACACCTTTTGAGGGATTTGAGAAGATAACAATTGGGAATGGTACAAGTCTACCAATTAAACATATTGGTTCAACTACACTTCAGACTCCTACACATTCTCTGGTTCTTAATAAAGTTTTACATGTGCCTAGTATTGCTAGGAGTTTACTATCTGTAAAGCAGTTATGTGCAGATAACAAAAGCTGGTTTATCTGTGATGACTCTGAATTTTTTGTGCAGGACAAGAAGACAAAGGAGATAGTGTATCAAGGAAAGAGTAGGCCTGAGGAATTGTTCTAGATCCCTGTGGTCACGAGTGCAAAGGGTTCTCAGTTCATAACAAAGTATCCAGCAACTTATTTGGGCAAAGCAGTGAAGAATAATGTCTGGCATCAGAGATTAGGACATCCAGCTCATGATGTGATGACTACCATGTTAAAACAATCGAATATTCCAGTTCAAACAGATGAAATTCATAGTACTTGTATCTCTTGTATTCAAGGTAAGATGTCTAGGACTCCATTTCCTGTTAGAACTGATAGGTGTACATCTCCTTTTCAGAAAGTGCATACTGATATCTAGGGTCCATCACCTGTAAGATCCATAGAGGGATATAGGTTTATGTAACATTTGTTGATGAATATACAAGATTTGTTTGGATATTTCCTATGAGCAATAAATCAGATGTGTTTACCATTTTTGTTAAGTACTATAAGTTTGTTCTTAATCAATTTGGTACAACAATTAAGTCATTGCAAACAGATGGGGTAGGTGAATATACAAGTAAGAGTTTTACTTCTTTTCTTGCTGACAAAGGTATCCTGCAATTAATATCTTGCCTGTATACTTTTCAACAGAACGGAATTGCAGAAAGGAAACATAGACATATCTTGGAAACTGCAATCACTCTTCTCAGTGCTTCTGGTTTACCCTCTGAGCTATGGTATTTTTCTTGTGCTCATTCAGTTCAGTTAATCAATAACATGCTGTGCAAAAGTTTATCTTTCAGTTCCCCATACTTGGTTTTATATAAGAAGGTACCTGATATACAATCTCTTAAGATTTTTGGTTCTGCTGTATTCCCTTGGCTGAGACCATACAATGTAAATAAATTACAACCACGATCAGTGATGTGTGTTTTTTTAGGCTATTCACAAGGGTACAAAGGAGTGATTTGTTATAACTTGCAAACTAAGAAGTTTATCATCTCTAGACATGTTCATTTTAATGAATCCTTATTCCCTGCAAAAAATGGTTCAACATACAAGTCCTGCAAGGCTACATAGACATGAGGAACATGATCAACCAATGAGTGTCCCGGTTATTGTATCTATACCAGTGTCATCTATACAGAGAAATACAGATCCTGCAGGATCACATAGCTCTTTATCTCAATCAGGTACAGATATATTTTCTCCAAATACAAATACATCAGAAGACCATGTATCAACAGAGTCAGAAAATCAGGGTTTTGGAACATCTCATGCTCTTTCCTCTTCACCACACATTACTCATTTGCTTCGTGTCATTGATCCTACATAACTCCAGGTAGTTCTTCCTTTTACCTCAACTTCAACTAATATTAATTCAGTCATCATAGATGTCGATCAGAATTGTATCCAAAACCAGGTTAAAAAATTGGTACCATTCATAGGAAAAGTTATGTGGGGTGTCTTGTCTTTTTACCTCAGCTACAGTCTTTACATCCTGATGATTTATCTACTGCTGCTTTCTCTACCAACTTGGATACACATTTGACTGGAGGATTCTCATTTCTTGCTGACATCACGGATTGTGAAGAACCGAGAACATTTAAAAACTGCCTCACTGAAACAAGAATGGCAAATTGCCATGCAAGAGGAATTCAATGCACTGAAAACTCAAGGCACTTGGATACTTGTCCCACCACCATCAAATCGATCGGTTTATTGGAAGTAAGTGGGTGTATAAGGTAAAGAAAAATCCCGATGGTAGCATTTCTAGGTACAAAGCCCGATTGGTAGCACATGGGTATACTCAAGAGCAAGGCTTGGACTATTTAGAGACATTCAGTCCAGTGGTTAGACATACCACCGTAAGACTCATCTTAGCCTAAGCTACTCAGTTCAATTGGTAATTAAGGCAACTTGATATCAAAAAAGCTTTTCTTCATGGAGACTTGGAAGAAGAGGTTTATATGAAACAACCACAAGGGTTTGTGGATGCTACATGTCCTGATCATGTTTGCAAATTGATCAAATCTCTTTATGGTTTAAAACAGGCTCTTCGAGCCTGGAACTCGAAATTCACAAACTATCTTCTTCCAGCTATTGGATTCAATAATCTCTTTTAGATACCAGTCTCTTTGTCAAAGTTGATGGTGGAGACATAATCCTTCTATTATTGTATGTTGATGACATAATTCTCACTGGTTCAAACTCAGTTAAAATACAATCTGTGATTGATGATCTTGCTGGTGTATTTGATCTCAAAGATATGGGAAGATTGACATACTTTTTGGGGCTGCATATACAGTATAGGGATGATGGTTCTTTGTTCATATCACATACTAAATATGCCAAAGATGTGTTACACAAGGTAGCTATGGACAACTGCAAGTCTACTTCAATACCATCTAAGCCTCATACTCAAATTCTTGCTGGTGAAGGAACAGCGTTATCCGATCCTAGCCATTATAGAAGCATAGTTGGGGCTCTTCAATACCTGACTTTTACTAGACTTGATATAGCCCATTTAGTGAACATGATTTGTCAATTCATGGCACAACCAACTGATTTATACATGTTTTTGGTCAAAAGAATCTTGAGATATATACAAGGTACTATTGGCTATGGCTTACAGTATACAAAAAGCAAGGAATTCAATATAACTGCTTATTCCGACTCAGATTGGGGAGCAGACATCAACACCAGAAGATCAATTACATGTTTTGTTTTCTATCTTGGGGTAAATCCAATTTCTTGGCAGTCTAAAAAGCAATCCATAGTATCTCGAAGTTATACAGAGGCAGAATACAAGGCATTAGCTCACTGTGCCGCTGATGTTTTTTGGATCCGATCAGTGTTTAAGGATATTCATCAATACATATCAGTCCCACCTTCCTTACACTGTGATAATCTCTCTGCATTGGCTTTAAGTTCAAATCCAGTTTTCCACTAAAAGATCAAACATCTTGACACGGATTATCACTTCGTACGTGATAAGGTTCAAAAAGGAGATCTACGGTCACTAATATTCCCAGCAGATATAGTGGTAGTAATAAAATAATACTAAATATGTATTAAATAATATAAAATATTAATAAAATATGAATTAAAAAAATATTTGTTATTGTCCAGCTTTTTAGTCCGACACCGCACCAAACGCTTCACTAAGTTAGTCTACCTTAGTCTAATCTAAGTCAGTCTAGCTTAGTCCCTGAAACTAGTCCAGTCCGAGATAATCCGGTGCAACAAACGCACCCTTAGTGTATTACGTTTGAGTCTTTACATATCTCCAAAATCTGAAAATTAAGTATATGGACTAGAAGCTAATGGATACAAGTTTGTGGATTATTCAACGAGATAGAATTTTATCTGATACTGATTAAACTGCGTTTAAGTTTGTTGATTATTCAACGAGATATAATTTTATCTGATACTGAGTAAACTGCGTTTAAGTTTGTTGATTATTCAACGAGATAGAATTTTATTTGATACTAATTAAACTGCGTTTAAATTTGAATTTTCAGAGCAAACACTCACTATAAAAAATACGCTACAAACAAATTGCAAGCATGGTTTGTCATGCATGGCTGCGATTAAAGGTGACAAAATAATTTATTAAGTTGATGTGGGTACCTACGTGGGTATCAATATATATATATATATGTATGTATGTATGTATGTATGTATGTATGTATGTATGTATGGGTATGGCGCTGATAACACAAATCAACTTAATCCTTCACCCAGTTCAGTAAAAATCCATTTTGTCTCCAGCTTTCTAATGGTCCCATATTACTCCTATATATATGTATGGCGCTGATAACACAAATCAACTTAATCCTTCACCCAGTTCAATAAAAATCCATTTTATCTCCAGCTTTCTAATGGTCCCATATTACTATCTCCAAAATCTGAAAATTAAGTATATGGACTAGAAGCTAATGGATACAAGTTTGTGGATTATTCAACAAGATAGAATTTTATCTAATACTGATTAAATTGCGTTTAAGTTTGTTGATTATTCAACGAGATATAATTTTATCTGATACTGATTAAATGCGAAATTTTATCTGATACTGATTAAACTGCGTTTAAGTTTGTTGATTATTCAACGAGATAGAATTTTATCTTATACTAATTAAACTGTGTTTAAATTTGAATTTTCAGAGCAAACACTTACTATGAAAAATACGCTACAGACAAATTGCAAGCATGGTTTGTCATGCATGGCTGCGATTAAAGGTGACAAAATAATTTATTAAGTTGATGTGGGTACCTATGTGGGTATCAAAGGTGACAAAATAATTTATTAAGTTGATGTGGGTACCTATGTGGGTACAGTCATGCATGGCTGCGATTAAAGGTGACAAAATAATTTATTAAGTTGATGTGGGTACCTATGTGGGTATATATATATATATATGTATGTATGTATGTATGTATGGGTATGGCGCTGATAACACAAATCAACTTAATCCTTCACCCAGTTCAATAAAAATCCATTTTGTCTCCAGCTTTCTAATGGTCCCATATTACTCATATATATATATATGGCGCTGATAACACAAATCAACTTAATCCTTCACCCGGTTCAATAAAAATCCATTTTGTCTCTAGCTTTCTAATGGTTTAGTTGCAATAATGGATTCTTTCCCTTATGCAAACTCTATCACTGCTGGTTTATTCACAATAATCATCGTGTCATATTACTTATCACGAAGATGGAGAGCTGCCAATCACAAGGGCAAATTGTCACCACCTGAAGCCAAGGGTGCATGGCCTATATTGGGTCACCTTCCTTTGTTAGGAGGCTCTACACCTCCTCACATAACTTTGGGAGCCATGGCGGACAAGTATGGACCCCTTTACACTATCCGCCTTGGCGTCTATCCGTCATTGGTGATAAGCAGCAGCGAGATCGCAAAAGAATGCTTCACAAACCAATGACTTGAAAGTAAACTCGCGCCCAAAGATGGCAGTTGTCGACCACATTGGCTACAACTACGCCATGTTTGGGTTCGCACCATCTGGACCCTATTGGCGAGAAATTCGCAAGATCACCACCTTGGAGTTGCTCTCAAACCGGAGGGTTGAGCTGCTCAAGCACATTCGAGTCTCGGAAGTAACTACTTTCTTGAAAGAATTGCACGAAACTTGGAGTACAAGGAAAAAGCAGAGCTCGAAATCTGGAGTGGTGGTAGAGCTGAAGCAATGGTTTGGGGACATGTCGCTGAACGTGATTGTTAGAATGGTGGCCGGAAAGAGGTATTCAGTAGCTGCCGATGAGGATGAGAAGAAAGAAGCGCTCAGGGTTCAGAATGCATTGAGGGAGTTTTTTCACTTTGTGGGATTGTTTTTGGTGGGTGATGCGGTTCCTTATCTGCGGTGGTTGGATTTGGGTGGGCATGAGAAGGCAATGAAGAAAACTGCAAAGGAATTGGACGCCATTGTTGGAGAGTGGGTTGAAGAGCATAAGCAGAGGAGAGCAAAAGGTGGTGCAAAGGGAGAGCAGGACTTCATAGATGCGATGCTTTCTGTGCTTGATGGTGCAGACCTTGGCGGTTTTGATGCTGATACGATCAACAAAGCCACAAGCTTGGTAATTATATATAATTCATTAATTTTTGCATGCAAATAATTAACCATAAAAGACTGGAGTTAGACACCAAACACATTAAGATTTTATTTTTACCTTCATTACTTAATTAAGCTAATTGCATGGTCTATAAAAGAAAATGAAAATCTAAACAAGAAATTTTCTGTATATTCTAAAATCATGTACAATTTCTTATTATTAACAATGTACTGTTAATTGCTGAGAACTGTTTTGGATTGTCAATAAACTTTCATTTCAATGATATAGTGATTAATAGTACAATGATTTTGACATATTTCTCATATAGACATCATGTAAAAATGGAATTTATAATTACTTTCACTACATATTGGGGTGGCTATCTGGAATGAATTTTAAGATGATTTCCAATTTTATAATATTTGAGTGCTCACCAATGTGTACAAACAGTATAAGTTTGTCTACTTAGTAGTTAAGGTGGGACATATTTTAACATTTTAATATATATTTTCACCTAAATAAGATAAAGACAAGAAAATTATCAATGTAAAATTGTACAGATGTAACCTCACTCTTAAGAATTTATATATCCTAATTAATTAATCAAATATTCCTTGAGCAGAATATGATTGCAGGAGGTACCGATACCACCATGGTGACATTAACGTGGGCAATATCATTGTTGGTGAACAACCCTCACATTCTGAAGAGAGCCCTAAACGAACTGGACACGAAAATAGGCAGACAAAGAGTTGTGAGTGAAGAAGATATAAGCAACTTGGTCTACATCCAAGCTATTGTAAAGGAGACATTACGTTTATACCCAGCAGCACCATTATCAGGGCCACGTGAATTCACTGAGGATTGCACCATTGCTGGGTGCCATATTCGAAAGGGCACCCGGTTGATCATGAACCTCTGGAAGCTCCAAACAGACCCTAAAAATTGGCCCGATCCATTCGAGTTCAAGCCAGAGAGATTTCTTACCACCCATAAGGATGTTGATGTGAAGGGTCATCATTTTGAGTTGATTCCATTTGGAAGTGGTAGAAGAGCATGCCCTGGTTTGGCATTTGGCCTTCAAATTGTGCAATTTACATTGGCTAGCTTTCTACATGCGTTTGAAATCTCGAACCCATCTAGTGCACCAATTGATATGACGGAGAGTTTTGGGCTGACCAACGTGAAGGCTACTCCACTCAAAGTTCTTATCAAACCTCGCTTGTCTTTTGAATTATATAAATAAAAGAAGAAAATATATAATATTATTTGTATGAAGAAGAGATTTTCGTTGTTATTGATTATATACAGATATTTGTCCATCTTTATGGTCATAAAATCAATAAAGAGCTTATGAGTATTTGGGAATGGGCATATTACGCAGAGTATATTTTGACTTTCCCTTGTAACACTAGCAATAAAAAAGTACACCAAAATAGTAAAATACCTCTTTATTACATTTTTGATTGGGCTCTATGTTGGGCCTATTGCCTCCGGCTTTTTGGTTTTTCAAAAGAACCCACCCATTCGCCAGTACACAAATAGGACACAATAAATTGGTCCATTTGTAGACTCCCAGTCCAATTTATGTGATTAGGTCTCACCGTTCATAAAAAATAAAACTCTTTTTTTTTTTTTTTCTTTTCTTCTCAAACAAAAAAATTTAAAAAAAAATAAAAAAAATAAAAAAAACTCTTTCTCACAACAAAACCTTTCTAGACTCCAAGTCCCTCCCTATGACAACTTTGACCCTCTATCGCTCTATTTCTTATCCAGCGACACCGCACCACACCTTTTTTGGTGACCTGGCATCGTGAAATTCATCACCCAGTTCCATCAATTTCATCTTTCATCATCGGCTTGCACAAACTCTCTCTCCCCTTGACCCTCCACCACCCATTCCGCTATTCAGGTAGCTGTCGACCACCTTTCTCTCTTCGCCCTCTTACAACTCGACGAAAATTGCTTTTGTTTCAGTTGTCGACGTAGAGCTCCGTCAATTTCAATCAATTCTCTCGATTCAACTGTTAATGTTCAAGATTTAGGGTTTTTTATTTCGAATCAGGGGATAAATTAGGGTTTTTGATTTTTGATTTGGGGATCAATTTTATTATATTGCACATTATAATTTTTGTTGTAAAATTTATCCATTCCGTATATTTGAAAGTCTTATAGTCCCTCCCTTAAATTGAAGATGTGCTATATGTTAGACTTTTCCTAGGCACAGGTTAAAACAAATACTGCAATTGGTTGTCGTTTTGGGACACAAAATAGTAATTTAAAAAACAAATGCTTCATCTGAATTATTTTATTTTATTTTTAATTATGATAAAAAACGATGGCATGTGGCACCTAATTTGTATTAATGTTTAATCAAAGAGTAATGTTAGGGAGATTAAATTTGCAAACTAAATGATGTGTCACCAATAGGAATAAGCATGTTTATCAACGTTCAAGTAATAAAACAATCATCAACTTCCATATCCTTTAATTTTCAAAATTTTGTCTACAAATTTAGTTTTCCTAGTATTACCCTTAACAAAAGTCAACATTGATAAAAAAATAATCAAAAGTCTACAATTTATTAAAATAAAAGGAAATAAAAATCACCAAAAAATATGTTGACTCTCGGAAAAGAATCCTTGACGAATCCCTTTTCTGGGATTCCGGGGATTACCTGATCATGATCGTTTATCGTATACGGTCAGTTTTCATTAGATACTATTTATATTTAATTTTAAATGATTTTTTACCGCACAATGTACGATAAACGATCACGATCACGAAATTCTCATGATCCTCAGGAAAATGATCCGGGAGGATCCTTTTCCATCAATTATAGACGTTGGAGGTCCACTTCTGTCTAGTATAGACGTTGGAGGTCCACTTCTGCCTAGCTGCTTTTATAGACGTTGGCGTAGCTGCTTTGTTAAAATTTATGGTGATAAGCTTCTTTTTTTTTTTTAATTATTAAGGAGAAGAGAAGCGTTCGAATTTATTATAATAAGTTAAAAAAAATGAGAGTTCAAAGCATTGGTGGAAAGTAAAATTCTATGGACAAATGAGAAAGAAAGGCTAGCTAGATTTCACGGAGAAAGTCACCACATTTGACTAATGAGCTTGATGCTTTCGTTTATTCCACATTTAGTTTTCTGGTAAAATAATGAACAATACTTGTGTTTTCCAATTCATTTTACCTGTTGTGAATAACATATCCTCATCATATAAACTTTATAAATAGAATCATTTGATTTTTTAATTTTCAATTGAAGGTCATTTTTACAAAAAAATTCATTTTCATAGGAGATTGTTTAGTCATAAATATTGGTTAGTTATAAGTATTGTTTAGTTATACGAATGTATTCCAGAATTCTTCAATTCCAGCGTTCAAGTTTGATTCTTTACAACATGCACTACCAGACAAACTAGCCGTTTCAATAGAACTTGGTTAATATTGTCCTCCTATTTTGATTGAGGTTTTCTTCGGATTCCTCTCTCACAATCTATCGGGATCAATCAAATCAAATTATATTATTACATTTAATGTACTCGTTTCTATTTCTGGTATATTGAAAAATCTTTTCATAAATAGGAGGTCACAACATCTATATCATAAAATTAATTTTCCACTGAATGAAAAGACATATGATACAATTGATCACAACGAGTCAAACTTAATATAACATCATCATCAATCGAATCACTGTTTAAAACCCAAGATTCTTTTTTATTAACATACGTGGTCAGGAGGAAAACTAATACCTTTTAAACCTATCATCTACCTTTTAGTTGGTCAGTTTTTTCTTTTCTCCCATCGATATGCCTTGAAAATAAAGAATTATTCATTTCAATCCAAACATAGGGTATTAAACGAGCACATATTACTCCTATATACATGTATGACAGGGTGCTAATAACACAAAAAGCTGCAATAATGGATTCTCTCCCTTATGCAAACTCTATCACTGCTGGATTATTCACAATAATCATCGTGTATTACTTATCACGAAGATGGAGAGCTGCCAATTACAAGGGAAAATTATCACCACCTGAAGCCAAGGGTGGATGGCCTATATATTTGGTCACCTTCGTTTGTTTGGAGGCTCCACACCTCCTCTCATAACTTTGGGAGCCACGGCAGACAAGTACGGACCCATTTTCGCTATCTACCTTGGCGTCCATCCGTCGTTGGTGATAAGCAGCAGTGAGATCGCAAAAGAATGCTACACAACCAATGACTTGGGCCTAAACTCGCACCCAAAGATGGCGGCTCTAGCCCACATTAGCTACAACTACGCCATGTTTGGGGTCGGACCATTTGGACCCTAATGGCGAGAAATTCGCAAGTTCGTCACCTTGGAGTTGCTCTCAATCCGGAAGGTTGAGCTGCTCAAGCACATTCGAGTATCGGAAGTGACTACTTTCTTGAAAGAGTTGCACGAACTTTGGAGTACAAAGAAAAAGGAGGGCTCGAAAGATGGAGTGGTTGTAGAGCTGAAGCAATGGCTTGGGGTTGGGGACATGTCGCTGAACGTGATCCTTACAATGGTGGCTGGAAAGCGGTATTCAATAGCTGCCGATGGGGATGGGAAGAAAGAAGCTCGTGGGGTTCAGACTGCATTGAGGGAGTTTTTTTATTATCTGGGCATGTTTTTTGGTGGGTGATGCGGTTCCGTATCTGCGGTGGTTGGATTTGGGTGGACATGAGAAGGTAATGAAGAAAATTGCAAAGGAATTGGACGCCATAGCTGGAGAGTGGGTTGAAGAGAATAAGCAGAGAAGAGCAAAAGGTGATGCAAAAGGAGAGCAGGATATTATAGATGTGTTGCTTTCTGTGCTTGATGGTGCAGATCTTGGCGGTTTTGATGCTGATACGATCAACAAGGCCACAAGCTTGGTACATATATATAATTCATTAATTTTTGCATGCAAATGACTAACCATAAAAGGCTGGAGTTTGACACTGTAAACACATTAAGACTATAAAATGAAACTGAAAACATTACACAATAATTTTTTTTTAAATATATGATTTTCCCATTTTATATATAACTCATGCAAAATATTTGAGTGCTCACCAATGGGTGAAGGTAGATAGATCATCTTTTTAGATAATATTTGTAGAACATATGATGTGGTAGTTGATAGTTGAATATTTTTTTTTTAAATCTTTAAAAATGAAATCTACAATTCTACTGAAAATTCTCATCAAACCTTGCTTGTCCTCTAAACTTTATGGATAAAAAAAAAAGGAAATATATAGTATTATGTTCGATGTGAAAAAGAGGTTTAGTGTTGAGCACACGCTGAGTCATGTCAAGAATCAACTCATCTCCATTTGGAATTGTCGGAGCAGATCATAGCCACACCTCAGAAGCTATCCAATCTCTTCCCTGGATTGGATTTGATTGCCTCAGATTCTAACTTTTCAGCTGCACCTTCGGAGTTTGGAGTTTATTTGGAAAACATTGCGGAGTCCAATTGTACGGGGAGATTCACGCAGATGCTACAGCCTGAGCCATCAGATTTGGACAAAGTGGTGGTGGCGGCTGTCTAGAGGCAGAACAAAGCAAAAATTTAAACCACCATCTGAAACATGCTCTCAGAATCAGAACAAAAAAAGGCATGAAATCACAGGATTTAAGTGAATTAAGGCAGGGATTTAAGTATTGTTTAGTTATACGAATGTATTCCAGAATTCTTCAATTCCAGCGTTCAAGTTTGATTCTTTACAACATGCACTACCAGACAAACTAGCCGTTTCAATAGAACTTGGTTAATATTGTCCTCCTATTTTGATTGAGGTTTTCTTCGGATTCCTCTCTCACAATCTATCGGGATCAATCAAATCAAATTATATTATTACATTTAATGTACTCATTTCTATTTCTGGTATATTGAAAAATCTTTTCATAAATAAGAGGTCACAACATCTATGTCATAAAATTAATTTTCCATTGAATGAAAAGACATATGATACAATTGATCACAACGAGTCAAACTTAATAGAACATCATCATCAATCGAATCACTGTTTAAAACCCAAGATTCTTTTTTATTAACATACGTGGTCAGGAGGAAAACTAATACCTTTTAAACCTATCATCTACCTTTTAGTTGGTCAGTTTTTTCTTTTCTCCCATCGATATGCCTTGAAAATAAAGAATTATTCATTTCAATCCAAACATAGGGTATTAAACGAGCACATATTACTCCTATATACATGTATGACAGGGTGCTAATAACACAAAAAGCTGCAATAATGGATTCTCTACCTTATGCAAACTCTATTAATCATCGTGTATTACTTATCACGAAGATGGAGAGCTGCCAATTACAAGGGAAAATTATCACCACCTGAAGCCAAG